TCAGAACTGAAAGAAGGGACATCATTACCAGCCTTTCAGAAACATGAAGGATTATAAGGGAGTGCTATGAACAATTACGCACCCAAAAATTAGATAATCAAATGAAATGGACACACAAACTACCAAAACTGATTCAAGAACAAATAGAAAATCTAAATAGATCTATAACAAGTACAGTTCGAATTAGCAATCAAAAACTTTTCACAAAGAAAAGCCCAGGCTCAGATGGTTTTGTGGTTAAAATCTACCAAATGTTTAAATAAAAATTAATACCAATCCTTCACATACTCTTCCCAGAAGGAAAGACTTCCCAAATCATTCTATGAGGCCAGCATGACCATGATACTAAAACCAGACAGACAAGAAAACTACAGACCAATATCCCTTACCTATTATGAATATAGACATAAAAACCCTCAACAAAAAACTAGTAAACCAAATACTACTGAACCAAATCCAAACATAAAAAGGATTTACACATGACCAACTGGGATTTTACTAAGAATGCAAGGTTGGTTTAGCATGCATAAATCCATTAATGTAACATACCATATTAATAGAATAAAGAATATAAACCATATGATCATCTCAGTAGATGCAGAAAAAGTATCTGACAAAATCTAACATCCTTTCGTGATAAAAATGCTCAAAAAACTAAGAATGTAATAAAACCTTCAGAACCTAATAAAGATTTACAGCTAACATAGTGAATGGTGAAAGACTAAAAGCTTACCCCACTGAAGATCAGCAACAAAACAGAGATATCTGCTCTTACCTCTTCTATTTAACATTGTACTGGAAGTGCTATCCAGGGCAATCAGGCAAGAAAAAGAAAAACGCATCCAGATGGAAAATAAGAAGTAAAACTATTTCTATTCATTATATGATTTTTATATACAAAATATTATATGGTTTTTGTATACAGAAAACTCTTAAGTAAGCCACAAAGAAACAAATAGAATAAATGAGTTCCAAAAAGGTGCAAGATACAAGATCAACATGCAAAAACAGATTGTATTTCTACACATTCACATGGCAATCTGAAAATGAAAGTAAGAAACAATTCCATTTACAATAACATCAAAAGAATTTTCCCTACCTAGAGATTCTTAAGAATAAATGCCTAAGAATAAATTTAACAGAAGCGCCAACTTGTACACTGAAAACTACAAAACACCATTGAGAGAAATTAAAGAAAACCCAGATAAATGGAAAGACTTAATATTGTTAAAATGGCAGTATTCACCAAATGGATCTCTAAATTCAAATGCAACCCCTATCAAAATCCCAGCTACCTTTTCTTGTAGGCATTAAACGGATCCTACAATTCACAGGTAAATGCAAGGGACACAGAAATAACCAAAACAATCTCAAAAAAGAACAAAGTTAGGACTCACACTTCCCGATTTCTAAATTTGTTACAAAGCTAATCAAGACAACATGGTACTAGAGTAAGTGCTGTACAGAAATATAGATCAATGGAATAGAACTGAGAATCCAGAAATAAATTTGTGGTCGGTTGATTTTTGACAAAGTTCCAAGACAATTCAATGAGGAAAGAAGAGTGTTTTCAACAAACGGTGCTGAAAAAAGTGGACATCCACATGCGAAGGGATGAAGTTGGACCCTATCTCAACAATCTACAAAAGTTAACTCAGAAGAGTCCAGAAATCTCAATGTAATAGCTGAAAACTCTAAAATTTTTAGCAGAAAACATAGGAGTAAATCTTTGTGACCTTGGGTTAAGCTATGGCTTCTTAGAAACAAAAGCACACACTACAAAAGAAAACTAGATAAATTTGATTACATCAACATTAAAAACTTCAGTGCTTCAAAGAACAAATGACACATTTGATTCATGATCCATGCTACGTCATGGAAGCACCTCCAAAACCTTATGCTAAGTGAAAAGAGCCAGACACGAAAGGCCACGTCTTGTGTGATTCCATGTACATACATGAAATGGCCAGAATAGGCAAATTCTTATAAACAGAAAGTAAATTAGTGTTGAGTGATTAGCCAGGAGCTGGGGGTGATGGGGGGGTAATAAGGAGTAACTGCTAACAGGTATGGGGTTTTCTTTGGGGGTGATAAAATTGTTCTGGAATTAGAAACTGGTGATTGATACACAACTTTGTGAATATACTAAAACCCACTGAATTATCTACTTAAAAGGGGTGGATTTTATGATATGTGAATTATATCTCAATAAAACTTTTATTTTTAAAAAAGGAAGGAAGGCTGGCCACGTCGCTGCAGGAATAGTGAACTGGAGAGCAGCCAGGAAATGGGGAGCTCAGTTCAATCAAGTCAGGGAGACCCAGTGAGGGTGCAATGATGACGATAATCATAGCTACCATTTCCTGTTGAGGGACTAGAGGCCAAGCCCTGGGACGAATACTTTTCATTTATATATCATATATTTAGATACCTATTCTCTCATTTATTCAGGAATACAGATTATTCCCATTTTACAGATGAGGAAGCTGAGGCTGAGAAGTTAAGTGACATGGTAATGCAGCTGGTAACAGCAGTGTCACAAGCTGGATCCCACACTCATGAGTATATATTATTAAGTATGATAAAAGAGGGAATGATTTGAGAGACAAAAATTTCAACAGTAGCATCAGCAGGCAGGTGCTCGAGACGGGGAAAGGAGGCGGAGGATAAAAGAGTCCATCATGCCCAAATGGCTGGTCTTGCTCACGGGTGGGGACATCTAGAACCTAGATAGGGAATATAAAAGCAGGAAAAGATTTTTAAAGAGATGAGCGCTTCACATTTCTGCCTCCCTTATCACATTACAAACACCTAAGAACAAGGGACATTCACTTTGAAAGCCCCTCAATTCTCCATCAAGAGGAGGCATGCAGTAGGTAAATGTTCATTTGCTGTGTGATTAGGGTCAAGTCGCTTGGTCTCTCTGTTGTCGTTTCCTAGATTAAGAGTTGCTGTAGATGAGTGCTAAATTCCTGTCTAGCTCTGAGTGTTTGTGACTCTGTTATTTTACTATCTCTAGCTTCTAGCCCAGGGTAAGGAACTGGATAAATGTCAAAATGTGAAAAAGCTTAGGAAGCTTTGTGGCACTTGCCTCCGAAGTAGATTCAGTGCCCCCTAGTGGCCACACCTGGGAATCACAAGCAGAATCACGGAATTGATGACATTTAGGCTGAGATTGCGGCGCCACCCCCACACACACACCCCACCCCCACCCCCGTCCAAAGGCAGGAGGGGGTTCCAGTTCCCTCTCTCAAGGCAACGACTCCAAGGCAGTGTTCACAGCATTTACCCAGAGTCCCCACCCACCCCGCCCCACAGCTGAGTGGGGCTGGCCTCTGACCTGTACAGGCTGCTGCTGGACATACATTTCTCTGGGTGAGGTGACTCCTCCGGGACTTGGGGACTGGTTATTGTCACTGTCCTTAGGCACAAATGGCAGAGCTCCCTAGTACACAGGTAGGTGTTCAGTCTTCACAAGATTTATGCTGAGAATAATGGTCTATGTTTGTAGGGTGGCCTACGTTAGGGCCAGGGCTCGACCTGGAACCAGAGGCTAAGGGTCACGACTCATCAGATAACAGGTATTTCCTCCATCCTAAAGGATGTGTCTGTCCTCTGACCTGAGCTCTGTGGCCTGAGGCCTGCCTGGTGCCACAGCACCCAGCTACTGTTGGCCTGCCGAGGGCACCTCTTCTCTCTGTGCTGCTCTTCTGCCCACGTGATAAACTGAAGAAGCCAGCTCCCCACCTTTCCAAGAGAAGCCCCACCGCAGACCTCTTGGCTGCCACCTCTTGGTCATTCAAATCAGCAACTGCTGTCTTCTCTCTCTGCACTTGCCACTGTCCTTCAACTCCTTCCTGGGAAATTTCCAGTCACCTTTCTAGTCCCAGCTCAGGCAGCAGGGTACCAGCTCACCGAGACACCCCAGGTTGGGGTGGGTCATCTGTCGCAGCTCTGACTGCCCTGAGTATCCTCAGCTGTTTTCCTGTTTGTTCTGTTCCCAAGGAGCTCACTCACAGCTTCTGGTACCTAGTGGTCTCTGAGGTGGATGAACGGCAAGGATAGGCTTTCAGGCAGTGGGAAAGTCGGAGTGAGGTTCTCTAGTCTCAGCTAGGAAGGGTTCCCAGGTGCTTAGTGCTCATTGAACTGAATGGAACTAGAACAGAGCGAGGTGGCATTTTGTGAGACCTGAATGTGGCATGAAATCACTAGAATGACAGCAGGCTGCTAAGTGTTACCCTTTGTGGTATGACTGAGGCCAGGGCCAAGGAACATGGTTTGAGAGATCCATAAGCACCTTCCCAGCTCAGCCATTCCAGAGCTGGACAGCAGCCCTTCAGCACACGTGGTAGGCGCTATAAGGGTATCCAAGGACTCCTGCCCCCTGTATTCACGCCGTGTGTAATCCTAGAGTGTGAGCTCAACCTTGTGACTTGCATCTAATGAAGAGAATATGGCAACAGTGACAGGTTATCGTTTCTGAGATGAGGTTATAAAAGACTGTGGCTTCTGTCTTGCACTCTCTTCTCTGGCTCATCTTCCTAATTACTTTCTCTGATGGAAGCAGCTGCCATGCTGTGAGCTACTCTATGGGCAGGCCTACCAGGCAAGGAACTGAAAGCGGCCTCCGGTCAACAGCCAGTGAGGAAGTGAATCCTGCCATCAACCACAGGAACGACTTTGGAAGTGGATTCTCCCCGAGTGGAGCCTTGAGATGCTGCTGCCTGACCGACATCTTGGCTGCAGCCTTGTGAGAGACCTTGAAGCAGATGGCCCAGCTAAGCTGTACCTTGACTACTGACCCCCAGAAGCTGTGGACACAGTGTTTTTCAAAGCCACTAAGTGCTGGTGTAGTTTGTTACACAGCAACTGATAAGAAATATAACACACAGGGCCATGTGGGCCAGAGGAGCAGGGGGAAGGGCTGGGCAGGCAGCCTGCTGTGAGCGTGGTCTCTCCGGGGGCCAGTGGCAAGATGCAGATGAAACGCCAGCAAGAACTCAGAGAGGACACTCATTTTTATTTGTTTAGGAAATAAAATATACAAAAGTCTGACATGGTACAATGATCTCATCAAGAGAAAACAGAACACACAGAGGAAAGGCTGGGTTTCCACCTTGGCCCCCACTTTTCCAGAAAGGCACACGCACGTGAGGCTTGGGTTTGGAGGCCTGTCCTGGAACCAGTCTGCTGCTTAGAAGGCCAGGCCCCTCTGTGAACAGGAAGAGAAACCCCTTCCTCACACGCACACTTGAGGGTGTAGGTTCAGCAAGCCGAGGCCACTGGAAAGGATGGGATTCAGGCCCAAGCTGGGTTGGTGCTGGGTCCACGTCAGCATCCCCTGAAGAAAACCAGTCACTCCAATCAGAATGTGGTGGCTGAATAATCCAAGAAATGGTGCATCCGGGACAACCCTGTTCCCCAGCATGGGATCGTCACCACCCCTATCGTCACTCTGGAGGCCAGTCTAGGCTCAGATCTGAAACACTGGGAGTGTGGGCAGTGACCAGAAGAAGAATTGAGCTGGAACAGTCCAGATGCTCATCACTGCACTCTTCAAAATGGGGACAACTGTGCTCTCGAGTCTTCCCCTTGGCAAGAGGGACTAGTCCTGCGGTCAAGACAAGGTAGCTGGGAATAGAGGTGTTCGTGTTAGAAGCAGCTTCTGCCCCTCAGCCTCCAGGAGCACAGAGCAAATAATATAACTGGCCTGAGTCACTAATGGTTGTCTTCCTTCCCCGATTCACCAGGACTGAGTTTTCTCCGTGACTTTGGGAAGGGAAGAAGAGGGGTTGATTAAGAAACCATACAGGCCCAAATGTCATAGCCACTACCTAGAACAGGACAAACTGGAAGTGAAAAAGCTTGAAAGAGTCACTTTTTCCTTCTTAAAAAAGAACTAACATTGTAATGGTTTAACAAAATTATTATAATTTCTTTTAAATAACCCGCAGACACCCATGACGCTTCCAAATTTACAGAACAAAAAGCACCCAAGAACTTGGTAGAAAAAATTTGCAGTGGCAGCTGGCCTGAGGGCTGGCTCAGTTCACCTCCAGGACCTCAGTCTCTGGGAGGCCGAATTTGGTCTTGTGCTTGTCGAAGAGCTTCACCAGGGCCTCCATGTACATGGCGTGGTACAGGTCGATGTCCTGCTGGGTTGGGTGCTCCAGCTTGGGGATGGTGATGGGCTCACCCACTGCAGGGATGGGGCAGAGACCTCTGGTTAGTCAGCGTCATTCAGCCCACCCTCCCTGGGCATCCATCCTAATGCTGATGGCAGCAACCCTGTGCTACATGCCAACCACGTGCCAGCCGCTATGCTGAATGTGCTCCATCTCAGGCTGTCGCTTTTACTGAGGAGAAGACTGAGGCCCAGGGGCATGGGAGGGGACCTGCCCAAGGCCACAGAGCCACTAAGCAGCAGGTTGGATGAAGACTGGCTGCACACACTGCACTCAGCTGGGAGCTCCTGCGAGAGCTGTGCGATCAGGAAATGGCTCTGCGTTTGCCCTGCTCTGGGAAAGTCACTTCACCTCTCTGACCCTTAGCTTCTTCACCTATCACACGGGGAACCTTCCTCATAGGGCTTTGCTAAGGACTCTGTGAAATAACGTGACATGAGAAGTGTGGTAAGGGCAGGAGCAGGAGGAGAAGACCAACATTCACACTTCTGCGCATTGTTTTATATCCTATATCCTGTTTCCTCTCCATACCCCACTCATCCCGAAGTTCTGTCAGACATTTCTAAAATGCCTCCCAAGTTCACTGTGCTTCTCTCCCATTTTTCCTGCCATTCCTTCTGTCCAGGCCACTGGCTACCACAAAAGCCTCTGAACTGGTCTTGTGGCTTCCATTTTTGCCCTTTCTAACCCATTTTCTTTCTATCCAGCAGCCCTAAGGATCACTTTAAAATTCAACTCTGAACCTCTCCTCCCCAAAACCCTCAAGTAGCTTTCTAGTCTTCAGGTTAAGAGCAAATTCCTTCACACTGTCCATAGGACCCTCCCTGTCCAGCCACCCCTGAGCATGAAAATGTCCCTGCTGCCTCACGGAGATCAGAGCTGGTGTGAAAATTTGTATATAACAAAAGTCAAGAGTGAGTCTGGGTCATGTGACCCAAAATGCAGGAAGTTGGTCTCTGTAAAGTACAAAACACCTGCCCTGATAATTCAAAGTATCTACGTGAGCTTTGGCCCCTAAGGTCCATGGTTTGTGGCCCACTTGCTTCTGTGTGATCTCTAGCTTGTGAACGATTCTCTCTCTCTCTCTCTCTCTCTCTCTCTCTCTCTCTCTCTCTCACACACACACACACACACACACACACACACACACACACACACCCNCACACACACACACACACACACACACACACACACACACACACCCCTCCCCCTCCCCCCACAAGAGAGAATCTTTTGGAATCCTCTAAATGGTCTTAAATAAAACCAAAACATAGCTGAGAGCCAAGTGCAGCCAGTTTTTTTGCTACACATCTCACAGGCCTATGCTCCAGTCATACTGATTTTTCTTTCTGTTTCTCAAAAATCTACACAGTCTTGCTGCGGGAACTTCACTTAGGCTATGGTTTCTGACAAAAACTCTCTCCCCCCACCTCTTTTGCTGGATAATTCCTATTCAGCTAATAGTGTAAGTGTCACCTCCCTCCTGGGGTGCACTATGACCCCCAGAACACCCTGCACATCCCCCTCATACCCTCTTGGTCTTTGCTGTAATAGGGTCTTTCCTGACAAACTCCTGGGCTCTGCAAACAAGGACTGCTGGGTCTTCTGTTCTTACCTAGCACGGCTTGGCTCACAGTAACAGAACATTCCCCCGTCTCCATCCCCCCACCAATCATTCCCATATGGCAGCACCCAACATGTCCTCATGGCTTAGACCAGGGGTCGGCAAACTGCGGCTCGCGAGCCACATACGGCTCTTTGGGTACGTTCCATCTCAAGTTTGCCGACCCCTGGTTTAGCGCATGGACATCAGAGCCGGGTGGCCTGGCAGGGGGGCTTACCGACAGTGGTGATGGGCTTGGAGTAGGGCACCAGCCCCCAGGTGTCGGAGGAGAAGAAGCCTCGGCCATGGAAGATACATGGGGCAAAACCGATGTACTTCTGGAACTTCTTCTGGACCCATCGGCCCCAGGAGCCCTCCTCAAAGATCACCTGCTTGTAGACCTCATTCTCCCCAAAGGAGTAGGTAGGAACCAGGTCGGCTCTGGAAGGGAGAAGCCAGGGTCTGTCACACCTCAAGCACTGGCTTTAGTTCATTCCTGCCAGCCCGAGGTCCTGGACGCCAGCCAAGCTCCCCTCCCCCAGGGCTGTCCCAGAATCACCTGGGGGATCCCAAACCACATGTCCCCTCACTACCAGGGTTAGATGGGCTTTCTGCCCCTTCCCCACCCCCACCTCCCCATTAGTGACTAGGGAGCATGTTAGGGCTTTGAGATGACGAGGCAAAGGGAAGACGGAGGGCCCAGCTCTCAAATGCCTCTTCTTTCTCATCCTTCAGGGCTGCGTTCTGTGGGGAAGTTCTCCCTGCCCCTCCCCCAACCTAGGCCTCTCTCAGTTCCCTGTCACAGCCCTCAGCATGCTGTGCTGTCACTGTCCCTTCTCACTTCCCCTACGCTGAATGTAGGGACTGGGTCTGATTTGATTGGGTCCCCAGGGCCTGGCACAGGGCTGGGCCCTGAAGAGCAGCCTCTTTGGAGGGTCCTGAGGAGACAGAAAGGAGAGCTGGGGGTGGGGAGGGGGCCTAAACAGTCCGTGCCAACCCTAACTTGTGACTGCAGGCTGCATTCTCTCCCACGCTAGCTACATCACTGCTCAAGGGTCATCACCCCAGGGCCCTCCTCCTGGGGCGCGGAGCCCAGGTGTGGGAAGAAAACAGTGGACCTGGAGTCCTAAAGCTTGGCTCTGCATTTTGCAGTGTGGCCCTGACTGGGTCCCTTAGTCTGTTTTCTCAAATGGAACATGGGGACGTCATCACCTGCAGGACTTCTGTGGAATCAAAGGGGACTTAGGAGTGAATGTGCTTTGTCAAGTGAAATGTGCTAAACAGGTGGCTACACAGAATGTGCCTCTGGTTTTCTAGAAAAGGTCACAGACATCCAAGCTGCCCAGTTCCTCGCCACCTGTCCTTAGTGTGACCCCTCCGGGAAGCTGTCCTGGATTCATGCCATGCCGTCCTCCTTCCTGGTCTCTTGCTCTCCTAGCAAGACAGCATAGTCCTGGACCCAGGACACAATCCTGCATATGAGCCTGGCTTCTCAGCCCACCTGCGAGGGCCAGGCTGCATCTGTGCCCCACTCAGACACGCAGGCTGCACTTGCACAAACTTAGCCTGAACCTGTGGGTTCCAACCTCCCCTACCTCACAGGATGGTGAACTCCCTTTTGTGCCTTCCTGGGGTCTGGGCCCTGCCTCCAGGAGCCCAGGGACTGCTGGCCTGGGCAAAGCAAAGTTTTGGAGGGGTGTGTGTGCACAGGCACGCGTGCATGTGCAGGGAGGCGCTTACCCATGACGCAGGGCCAGTTTCACAAAGCCCTTCCGGTTGCGCAGGGTGACCGCATTCTTGCCGGGCCTAGAACTCAGGGACTCAGCTGCACCCCCTACGACGATGATAATGGCATTGCCACTCCCATTCTTTGAAAGCAAATAGTCTATGGTGTCCCGGTTCACGGGGCAGATGCCTGGGGGAGGAGGAGACACACAGTCAGGGCGGCCCATGGATGCATGCCCCATCTCTGAACATGTATAATAAGAAAGAGCCCTGGACGTGGGCCCCAGACCTAACCCAGCCACTTAGAAGATGCATGGCCCCTGCATAAGCTATTCTTTTTCTGAGCCTTGGCTTACTTATCTGTAAAATGGGGGTGACAATACAAGGTTGTTTAGGGAACTCATTCGTTGAGCAAATACTCCCTGAGGTCTTAGCTCTACCAGGCTGGTGCCAGGTTCTGGGGATCCCAGTGAATCAAGCTGGTGGGGGTCACAGGCAGGGGGATAAGACAGAGCCATGGACAACAATCAGGTTATACAGAGGGCAGTGCAGACACTGGGGTGCCTGGAAAAAGAGTCAGAGAAGGCTTCTGAGGGAAGATGTTATCCAAGTTGAATCCTGAAGGCCATGTGAACAGCTCTCCTGTTCAGCTCTGACGCACCATGCCAGTGGCAGGCTGCATCTCTCAGCACAGGACCAGTCACCAGAGCACAGTGTATTAGCTTCCTAGCCTCTCTGTCACCTTGCTCAATGGAGAGGCTGAGGCCTTGACAGTGGAACCCAGCAAGGACAGGCAGGGGTGAACTCTCACCTCCAGACATCAGGTACTCCCTCAGCACTGGCATCCGGAAGTTGCCAGCCAGAGTGGCCAGGTAGGGCCTAATGCCAGGGAACTTCTTGCTCACTTCCGTGGCCTCTGTGCTGAAGTTGCAGAAGGCACCCAGGCCCATGATGCCATGGGGGTGGTATCCAAAGATGTAGTTCCTGGTGGTCAGCAGGTTGTGTGTCTTCACCAGCTGCAGAGAAAACCCTGGGTGAGAGGAAACTGGCCACGAGAGGGGGCATGCCCAAAAGGTAGGGGATGAACTGAGTATGCCAGACCCCCTGGCACTCTGGGCCTGAAGGACTGGCATCACTCTCCACACTTCACCTCACTCTCATCACTGGGGCCACAATATCTGGTGCTCAGCGGTCACCATTTGGACTGCACATTCCTGGGAAGGGGCGAGGGAACGTTCTCCCTCATTCCCCTGTTTCTCCAGGTAAACACACCAGGTCCTCTTATTCACACTCTGCCAGCATCCTGCCTTCCCTCCCTTTGGGCCCATCCTCCTCACCACAGGCAGTAACTGTTCTAAAACCCAATGCAACCCCTGTCACACTCCAGCTCCCATTAGGTTCAAGTCCAAGTCCCTCAGTCTGGCTAGAGAAGGGATAGTGCAGCTGGCCTGAATGGAAACTTCTTTCCAGGCAGCAAGGTTCAGCTTGGGCTCTGATGCAGGAAGGACAAGGGCAACAACAGACCTTATGCCAGCCACAGCGGGGGCGGGGGAGGTCAGCTGTACAGCTGGGCAGCTGACCTGTGGTGTTATTAACAACGCTGTCCTGGGACGCTCTAAAGAATAATTGGCTTCCTCAGGGCCCACCCCCTGCCATGGGGCCATTGGCTTGGAGGGTGGGGTGGGTGGTGCCAAGTTTCCCTAAAACCTGAACAAGAGGCACCTATCCAGTATCACAACAAACGCAACGGGGGTGGAGGATGTTTTGAGGGGTGAAGAGTACCTGTATTTTGTTCAGAAAACATCACTTTTTCTTTTCTGATTACAACAATAATGAATAATCAGAAAAGTTTCAAAATACAGGAAAAGTAAAAACAAAAGCACCTGTCATACCTCCATCTAGCTAAACCACTCTGACATGTTGAGTCCTTTTTCTACTCAAATATACACGTGTTTTTTTGTGTGTGTTTTTTTTGTTTTTTTAGCTGAGCCATCCTGCCCTGTTGGCAGCTTAGCAGCAACTCAGCTCGGGCCAGGAATCGAACCACTGTTGTTCAGAGCTCGCCCTCTTGAGTAAGCTCTTAACCAACTGTGCCACTCGGCCAGCCCTATACATGTGTTTTTAAACACACACACACACACACACACACACACACACACACACACACAAATTGAGGTAATATGGTTGACATCATTTTTACATAATTTCCTATCAAGCATATCATATCTATTTTTCTTTATCAGATTTCCTCAGTACCATGTCTTCTCATGGCTGTATCATTCTATCACACAGCTATGCTACATGTAATAGAACTATTATCAAACCTCAACTGGTGGACCTTTAGAAAGCTTCCAAAATTTCCCTCAAAAACAATGCTTCCATAAATACCTTATTTTTATCCACGCCTGATTCTTTTCTTGAGACAAACTTCTAGAAAATACAGTTCCTGGGTCAAAGGATATGAACATTGTAGTCCCGTGGGCTGTCCTATCTCTCTAGAGAAGTGGCACTGATGGCACTGCTATCTGCAGAGCTTGAAAGTGCCCACTTTTATGCACTGGTGCCAGCTGGAAGCAGAGTCACTGGCCATCGGCAAAATATCAAGAGCCTGGCTTTTCCATGGCTCCAAATTTGGGAACCTCCTAGCTGAGAAAGGGACCTTACACTCAGTTCGGGGGGAGGGAGTGCCAGTGGTTGGCCTTGGGGAAACAACTCTGAGTCTTCAGGTGAGGAGACTGGAGGCTGATGGAAGCCAGGTTGGCTGGCACCATTCACAGCTCTGAAACTGCCAGTACATGTAAGGGTGAGCAAGACCCCCCTAAGTCTTACCCCCTGTTGCTTGGGACATTCTTACTCCTTTTTCCAACCTGCCTTTGGCAAGCAGATGAAAGCTGTTCAAAAACCCAACCAACTCTTAGCTGCCAACTACATAAGCGGGGAACAGCAGCAACTTAACCCACGGCGAGCAGGATGGGAGCCCAGCTCTATGAGCTCGGCAAGGTGGTTGTTCTGAGGTGCTGCCCCCTGAAGAACCGGTCGGCCCACCACCTTAGCTCTCCATACCGTTAGAATGAAAAAGCACCTTGTGTCAGTTTCCACGAAACAGGAAGGCACGAACGTAAGAGCTGAGGCAGCCAGTACCATACTGTAAACTTGCTCCTAAGCTGGTGGCTGGGCCTGGGAGCCCAAAGTACAGAATGGGCTGGTAGAGCCCTTGTCTAGGGCTCTTTCCTTTATTACAAGGTGGGAACGGAGGCCTAGAGAAAGGAGTGCTGCTTTCCTGGAGGCACAGTGAAACATCCTCCACCTCTAACGAGGCCACCCAGCTGTGCTTTTCCTGGGGCCTGGGTTGTTGTAGTTGTGTCACCTGGTGGAACCCTAGCTGGCTCTTTAAATCATTTCCCCTTCCCCCAAGGCTCTGTGCGGTGGAGCATTCAGTTAAGTGAAGTGCCTTGGGGCACAGGGCAGGTTAATGGCTCTTGGTGCAGTACCTAGAACAACACAGGCATTTGGCACAGCTTTGATCTGTCCTCGTGCCATGCTCCCCTCCCTCTAGGACTGAACAGAGTGTCCGTTTGAGAGAAAGCAGGAAGGACACTGCTGATGACGGCTCTGTTGACATGCCTGCCTTGTGTCTGTCCCCTGACTGCTTTCCATGACAAAGTCTCAGTCCGACAGGGTGGCCAGGCCAGGCCTGCTGGCTCATGCGGGCCTGGAACACATTCCTGGCAAGTCACTTCTCATACCCTATGTCCCAGGACAAGAAAGGTGCTCAGATAGGCTTGTGCCACCCTGGCACCATATAGAGGGAAACTCAGAACCAGAGAAGAGCAGAAGCTTGCCTGAGCTCACCTAGCAGGGCACGGCGGGCAGGGGAATGCAGGAGTGGGAACCTGGGCCCTGAAGCCGACAGCCTTCGTTCCTACACCAGCCCTGACCCTGGTGTGCTTTGTGACCTTGGGATAGTCCCTTCTCTCTATGAAATGAGACAGATGGGTGACACTAAGCTCGGGGAGTCTTTCCTAGTGTCCTCTCCAAAGATCCTACCTATATCTCAGGAAGCGGTGCCCCAGGCACTGCCCACTCCTCTTCCAGGTAGCCAGCAGTCCTGGTGGCTGCTGCTAACACATAAGCTGCGCCTCTGCCGGGAGAAGGGACGCTCTCTGGGCCAGCTGAGCTGCTCTGGTGGCAAAGGGCAACGGGCTGCACCATGAAGGAGGAGGGGGAGGCGTGGGGAAGTGGGTACAGACCATCACACAACCACTGGCAAGAGGCTGGGAAAAGGGATGAGACAAGAGGGTCACACACGACTCCACAGAACATCGACCCTGATGTCAAGTCACCAAGGTCAAAATCTCTCACAGAACAGAGGAGCCTGAGGCCCCGAGGGGCAGGAGTTGGTCTAAGTCACCGGGAGGCAAGAGCAGAGCCCAGATTGAGAGTCAGTGCCCTGGCCTCAGGCCCAGTGTGGCTGTGGTGCCCAGGGGCCCTCCCAGGGCCAGCTCACATGTGTCTTATGGCTCCAACTCCCAGGGGACTTCTTAGAACAGAGATGTGACAAGGAACACTAGATTTTGTTTAGTTCTTCTGGAAAGGCAAAGATCAGCGGAAAGGGCATCTGCCCATTTCAGTTCTGACCAAGTCATCAGTTCACCCTCTTCTGGGTAGAGGGGGCTATCGGCCTTGTGGGGGTTTCCTGAGGGGCAGGCTACTCTGAACACTGGGGCCCGGCCCCTTAGGTGAGGTCCTCAGTAGGAACAGAATCCGTCCACCACCCCTCACAATTAATGATAATTTACCACTTTCCATCGTATGAACAGCTCTGTTTTGCACATGAGGCGAATTAGGCTCAGTGAGCTTGAGAAAATGTGCCTATGGTCCCATGGGCAGAAAGTGACAAAGCCTAGCAGATCCATTACACGGTGAGACCACTTGAGGGCGGGGACCAGGGCTGGCTCTTGTGCGTCCCCATGCCCAGCACATTGCACAAGGAGCGAAAATTACTGGTTGGTGAATGGAGTGACAGAACAGGAACTCAACCCAGGTCTCCACCAGCAAAGTAGAGAGAGGGAGACCCAGGAAGCGGGGCTCAATCCAATGGAGGGAAAATCCGGGATTGAATCTTTCCCAGGGAAAAACAGGCAGTGGGAATTCAGTGGGAAAGAACCTGGGGCCCAGGTTCTAGTGCTAACCCTGGCATGGGCTCATTGTGCAACCTGGACCCTTGCCCCTCTCTGGGACTGACTGTTTCTTCATCTCCCAAAGAGGTGGCTTTATGATGTAAAGAGAGGGTTAAGTCCCATGATGCAACATCCTTCTAGCGACAACAGCCCTGAATTCGGTGCAGCCAGAGAGATGGGGTCAGGAAAAGGGGGGACCAGGAACTCTGACCCCAAAGGTCCTGGGGGAAAGTGGGCTCAGGCTGGCATGGGCAAAGGGGGCTGGCCCTGAGGCCGCCCCACAATACCAGGTGCAGTGGAGGAATGTGGGGTTACCTGGCCACCTCCCCCAGGCAGCACGCCAGGATGTCTCAGTCACTGACTCAGAACAGCAAACATACGCCGCCCTGTGTCATGCACACTTTCACACACACACACACACACACACACACACACACACACACACACGCTGCCACTGCTCTTCAGTCTCCCCTGCCTTCTGCTGGGTTGCCTCAGCAGCTAGGGTGTGCCAGGGCTGGGGTGCTGAGCAAACTGGCCAAACAGGTCTCTCCCCTGCAGGGAAAACCTTCAGGATTCTGCCGGAGTTATCCACAATCCAGCAGCATCGCCCACATGCACCAGGGCCCGGATGCCTCTGCCTTGCCAACCTAGCTCGCAGACCACCGGCTCGGAGACGGAGATGAGACTGAGAGACACACCAAACCACCATTTATCCTGTCAGGACCTGGAGGTTGGCCCCAGAGAAGACAGGTGCTCAGAAGACTAATGTAGGGGTCCCAGGGCAACCAATGGTGCCACAGGAAGGAAACCCAGAGACCAACTTGGTCTAAACTTGCTTCATATCAAAAGACTGCATCCTGGAAGGGATGGTGCCTCAGCCAGGGTCGTACTGGGCTTTTTCTGCCTCCGTCCTCCAAATCTGAGGAAAGCCTGAGTGTCTGTCCGCCCAAGCTTATTTCCCACGGCTCTGCTGCACAAGAGGCAGCATGCTGTGGTGGGGACAGTCCAGGCTGTGCAGCCAGACCAGCAATTGGAATCTTGGCTCCACCCCACACTAGCCTCAGTCAGCTTTGCTAGTCTGGTCTTCAGCCTCCTCTTTCGTTAAAAAGGGATCAAGTTAATAGCCCTTACAGGGTGCTGTGGGAGGTAAAGGAGACCCCTTGGGGAAAGATGCTGGCTCCTAGGAGGCTCCCAATACATAGAAATCCTCCCTCTGCCCTCCACAGGCTTCTTCTCCAACTCAGGTGCCTATGCTCTCATTGTTTCGCTGCCTCTTCAGTGCTACTTATCTTTATGATGCAGTTCCAGGAGCAGCTACTCCAGAACTTCAAGCACTTCAGCAACTAGGGTATCACTCTTCTTTCACTGCCCATCAAATTTCCTGGGCCCTAATTCCCACGGTCATGACCCCCAGTGACCCACCCGTGACTGGCTGAGAGAAGTGATATTTCTGTAAGAGCTTGAGAAGGAAAGCAAGCCCCTCACAGCACACGGCTATGCTTGGTTCAGTGCCATCCTCGGTTCAGGTCAGTCGAACTTGGACTCTTTTAGTATTGCTCTTGATTAATTACCTCCATTTTAAATTATGCCTTTAATATTCACTGAAAGGCAGATAAGCAATGCCCGTAATATCTGCTATTATACCTGCTCTTTATATCACTCAGGATCTCAGAGACTGAAACATCTTTTAGATCCAAATGCTACAATGAGTCTTGTTCACCCAAGGAACTAGCATGCTTCTTCCTTTCTCAAAACAAGAACCAACAACTATCACGTTTCCCATTTTGCCTTTGGCTGCCAGGAAGTTCAAAGCTAACCACAACTTTGTTGACCCTTATGGCCGAAATACTAGTATTTTTTCCCCCCCAAGTCTTGATTTTTCTTTTTACCTGGTATGGCATTACATGTATCCTAAATTGCTCAAATCCTGCATAAAGTGGTGTAGAGTATGAACAGATGCTCACAGTGGGAGATGTCACATGGTTCAACTTAGCACATGTGGTCACTGTGGATGGGTAGGTTACGGCTTGAGTTCAGATTTCCCATCCATTCCCACCCTCCCAAGATAATACCCACAAGTCTTTACCTGGATGGGGAAGTAGTCTCGAAAGTAGCGCCACACAGCCCAATTTCGGACCCATTCTGACCTCCTGCCACCTTCCAGAGAACAAAATACAGTGTTGGGAAGGAGTAGGCGTCGGGGAGGACGACATTTGTGTAAGGCAGACAAGACAGAACCAGTGTGAAACCCTGAGGTAGGTGACTATCACACCTCCCCTTCCCACTGGGCCCCTTTCCATGTTTGCTCCCTCATGTTAGGCAAACTCTTGATTGAGTGTGAGCCCCTACGAGGACCAGGATGGTGCCCTTTGAGGCGCTTTTAACCCCCCCACCCCCACCCAAAACCACACCCTGGCTAGCCTAATGCTTTTCACAGAGTAGGCATTAAGTAAAAAGGAGCAGCACCCACACGGAGAAACCTCGGCTTGTGCAGGAGGGAGCAGGGGTGGGGCGAGGAGAGCCATGCCCTTACCTTTCTTGGGTGTGTTCCAGTCAAACACCAGCCAGGTGAAGTACAGCACAGCGATGAGCCAGCAATCGGTGCAGAATATGTACATGAGGATGACGCTGCAGGCCACTCCTGGTGGGAAGGCAGATGATTACAGGTCAGGCCGGGTCCTCCCGGGGCAGGCCTCTCTGGGCAAAGGCTCCCTGAGTGATGGAGTGGGCGTTTGCTGTGGTACTAAGCTAGGCACAGCCGGGGCCGTGGGCACAGCCTGGGGAGGAGCAGACTCCCGGGGACACGAGCCTCATCTCCTAGGCTCTGATGGGCTCTTCTGGCGTCACATGGTCCGTGGGCTCCATGCTGTCTGGGCAATCACACCGGAGTCGGTGAACTTCAGCTTCTTCGTGAAGCTGTCCTTAGAGCTGTTCCTTCTGTCCCCTCCTTGCACATTCTCCCCACCCCAGTGCCCAGCACAGTTACAGTGGACATGGGGAGGGACCTACTAAGCGCCTCCACATTCCAGGACGTCGGCTGAGCTGAGCCACCATCTCCAATGTGAAGCCAGTGACTTTCATACCATTTTAAAGACGAGAACACTGAGGTTCTAGGAGAGGGTCATTTGCCCAAAGTCACCCAGCAGGACAGTGGCAGAGCCAGAATTTAAACCATAAACAGCACCAGGCTTTAGAAATTCATCAAAAATTAGAAGCCCCAGGCTGCCCCTGGAGGGACCTGAGAGAGGAAGATTCCTGGCCCAGGAGAAGGGCTGGCTTCCTCCTACATAACAGAGTGCCAGGCAGTGCCAGGCCAAAGCCCAGAACCCTTCAGCGCCACCCCCCCACTCAAAAACAGGACACTCAGAAGACTCCCTGGGGCCAGCTTTCATGCAGTCATGTTGTTCCGGGCCTGTTGACCATAAGGTTGAATAACCTGGCACAGAGAGGAAGGACGGTCTATGCCAAGCCTGGTTTACCTCATGACTTGCCCCTAGATGCCCTCACCAGGGCTTCTAGCCTTCCAAGTTTTCCCCAGCCTTCAAGGCCTAGCTCAGACATCATCTCTTCAAGAACTGTCCTCCAATATGATACTACCCTCCCACAAGGATCTCTCACCTCTGGATTCTCCACACTGGGGGGAGAGGGGGGTTGGGGAAGGACACGTCTTCTTTGCCCCCTGGCACTCAGCACAAGGCCAGGGGCAGCAGGTACTCATGCTTGATAGAAACATGGTCTCCACCCAGCACCCTCTCCAATGCCCAGGGAGGGAAGCCAACCCTTGCTGCATGCCCACCCTCTGCTGGGCACCGCGCTGGTCAGGAGCCCTCTAGGGCTGCCTAGTTCGGGATTCCACACTCTCTTCTCCCCACCATGCTGAGCCTCCTCTGGCTTCCCGAGGGAAGGGGGAGGGTCAGCACAGGCTCTCCACGAGTGTAAGGGCAGGAAAGTTGCAGTCCCTTGTCATCCACAATCCAGTACTGTTCTAGGCTCCTGAGTTAGCCTCTCCCCTGTGCAGCTAAAAATGGTACAACTATCTGGGGAGGGGCAGTGAACATACAGTGACCAGTTTTTCAGGATCAGCTTAGGAGTGTGACACCACAGACGGGGAAGACGAGTCTCTAGCGAAGCATTTGCAGCCTACAAAACTCTGTTAAAGGCAAACTGAAGTACTTGAGGCAACTTGGTGAATGGCCATGTCTAAGTTAAAGTCGCTTACAAAGTCACTCACATTGTTTAGCAGTTTGCCTCTGGTCCCCTTTCATAGGCCGGGAAAAGGGCCACTTTAGCCCTCTAGATTCTACAGGTGTCCAAGCTCCTTCAGAAGCCAGGTATGCTCCAGGTGAGCCTGGGCGGGGCTGTGAGGATCAGGCCAGGATCTGAGCAGCCTGGAAACCTAGCTGCCATCAAACCTCTAACTCTCCTGCAGGGTAGAGGGATCAGAGGGGCAGAGCCCACTGCCTACATGCCTAGGTTTTCTAGAAAGGTGGGAATCCCTACCTACTGTCCTCCCTCTGGTGCTAAGGCATCCTGGATGGAGGAAAAGAGAACAAATAGGCGGAGAGTCCAATGACTTCGTTCTAGTTCCAGACTCTCAGCCCAGAGGGCCCACTCCCCTTAACCCCCGTGTGTCCACAGCCCTTCTCTCACAGCACTCATCATCTGTCTCATCACTATCTGCCTCCCCCATCAGACTCCTCCCAGCAGATAGCCCTTTGGCCCCTGAGCTCTTTGGGGGCTGGAACTGGGTTAGATTAACCTCTTCAGCCCCAGTTACCAACACAGTAAAGGCTGACTGTGCAAAAAATGATCTAAACCCACCTAACAACTTTCCTTTCTCAGAACTAATTCCAGTCATCTGAACAATGGGCTCCTTGCCCCACCCTGGTAGCAGGGCCATGAGATGGCAACTGCTTAAAGGCCCTGCTGGCTCCACATGTGGAAGGCTCAGGACCACCTGCAACATCACCCCTTCCCCACAATTCACGGTGAAGATTGTGGCCCTGAGGTCCGTGAGCAGGGCAGCCTGTGACTGTTCAGTGGCAGAGAGGCAGCACAGGGCCCCGTGAAGAGAATGGCCGTGCTCTCGCATGAAGCCCTGGCCCTGCCACTCACTGGCCACGGCCCGTCCCTGACCCTCAATTTTCTTACAGGGTGTTGGGAAGATTACAAGAGACAATATGTGAAGAGGACTTAACACACAGTTAAGTGTCCAATCCAAAGATTCATGGACTTGGTGGGAGACAAAAAAAGGACATCTTAATTTTTACCCATTTCTCCTGGAAATTCAGTATTTTCTTCATTTACGAATGTAACAGACCACAGTAGTATTAGCAATACTCTTGACAGGGACACCAATAGGAAACAAAGGTGATTCCATGCCACATTTATAGCAGTTGCAGATATTCTGAAAATCCATTTATTCTCATCACTACTTAAGAATTACAGTAATGATTGTACCTGCTTCTAAATTTTTATATTTACTGCAATAATAAAAAGCAGGTGTTACTATATGTCTAATTTGATTTCTTACTGTATGCATATTTATATTTCAATCTCATTGGTTTCCTTTGAAATCCAATGCACTTTTTGTATTGCACATTTGAAAACACTGAGAAAGGTTGATAGCCTTTATCAGAAGGCCAGAGGGGTCCATGGCAGAAAGTGATGTGGAGTCTCTCTGTTCCAGGGGGAGGCTGATGGGGCCACAGCAGCCTTTGCAGCACAAGGGGAGCCTCTGCCAACATATTTGGGTGGCAGCAGGAGGGAGTGGCTGGGCTGCTCAGGGCAATAATTAGCAGCAGCTCAGCAGACCTGTCTGTCCAACCAGGCTTGGCTCCCACCTACATGAGGGTTTTAGGAAGAGGCTGGGCTGGTTTCTGGGCTGTGGGTGGGCTTGATGGATTGTTAACCTACACCTCGGGGGCAGGGCCTGTCACACGCTGCATGGGTTAGGGTTCTACCAGCTGCTCAGCTTCCTATCAATCAAACTCTGACCCACTAAGACAGAGAGAGTGGTGGCTTCTTGGTGCAAGTGGGGACTAAGGGAGTTGGTGCAGCAGACAAGGCAGGGGTCAGGGAGGCTGGAATCCACTGGGTCTATTTGTGGTCCCACTACTTCCTTCTCCTGTAATCCTGGGCAAGGCTCTGCCCCCATTGGGCCCCTGCTTCCTAACTGAAAATGTAGGGATTACACTGTGCTCTCTACTCCAGGATTCTACACAGTGGCCAAATGCAGGCTAACTTGGGGGTTTGAGCCCCTAGGGAGCAGTTTAATTTGCTCTGTTCCCCAGACCAGTGTTTCTTTATCTTTTTGAGGTCATGTAAGACCTAACAACAGCAATGCCTTTTACCCCAGAAAAATGTGCACATACGCTCACATATAATTTTGCACTGAATTTTAGGGGTTCATGGACCCCCTTAAAGCCTGCTCTTGGGCCTAAAGATAAAGACTGTCTGTTTCATACCAGGTCCAGTAATTCTGGGCTCCCCCGTGAGGTGGGCTCCCTGGTGAGTACTCTGGGCTTCCACTCACATCCCAACTCCGTACTTAGTGAGCGTCAAGGTCTCACTGAACCTCCCTCTGTGAGTTTCCATTTCCTCACCTGTGAAGTGGGAAGTCAAGAAAAGACGCGGTGTGCCTGGTACACTGTGGGGGCTTGATCAATAGCACCCCTACCCCATCCCTGTGCCCTGCAAAGGGCGGGAGGGGCAGCACAGAGCTGCCCCGGGAACGTGGTCTCAGAGGCCCCCATGCACACTGGAAGGAGGATTGATTGCCCAGCACTGAAAGGGTAACTCCTGATAATCCCCACCAGCCTGGGCAGTCCTGTAGAGTGGGCCACCCAGAGGGACTCGCCCACAGGCACTGGAATGTACACTATGCAGCTCTGCAGCAGGTTTGTCAGCCCTGATGTGTTGGGGAAGCCACTTATTATGGTGGGGACACAGGGGCCTAGAAAAGACGAGAGGCTGCTAGGAGAGCAGGGGCTGGCCCGGGCATGGGCCCTTTCCTCCTCCCACACAGTCCACAATGTCCTGACCCTGGTCTAGGGGTGAGGACACCAACCTGGACCTGCAGAAGCAGCAACCAAAGCATTGACATGGGAAGTACTGAGAGAGAGGAGGGAGCAGGCACCAAATGGGCTGGGGACGCAGCTAGGGACTGTGTTCAGCATTGGGTGGGTGAGGGCCCACTACCCAGGGCTACCGGCTCTCATTCCTTATCTCCAATCCCCCAAAAAGCCATGTGAAGTAGGCAACGTTTTCCTCACATTCAAGATGAGGAAACTAACTTTCAGAGAACTCAAGGGGCCTGTGGAAAGGCACAGAGCTTGTTTGCGGCAGAGTCAGGACTCCAACCCGGCACCGCAGTACCCTAAGGCAAAGCAACGTACTTGCTATAAATGTTTGTTGATGGGCAGAGTGCCATGTGAGAAAAGCACAGGCTTTGGGGTCCTACAGACCTGAATCTATGTGACTTTGGACAAATTACTTACCTTCTCTGAGACTTGGATTTCCCATCTGCAAAATGGGAACCATACCACCTACCACTGAATCTCACTGAGTCCTCATGCGTGCCTAGTGGTAGAGCACTTGATTAGGGACTCAAAAGGTGGTAAGTAGAAAGATGCTCCTACCTCTCAGCCCTGTAGGGCAGAGGTCCTGCTCTACCCTCTGTTGGGGAGGTGGCCCCTGCCTGCCCTCACCCTCTAAAGCCCCGGCTTACCCAGCACGAGGAAGGACAGGACCCATTGTAGCACTGAGATGACCTGTAGCTGCTTTTCCACTTTGGACCTATTGAGCCAAGTGACGGAGAAGAGGTCCTGGAGGGCAGAGAGGATGCTGGAGCCAGTGCCTGCAACAGAGAGGAGATGTCAGCTGGCTGCCACTCTTCCCCCTAGCCTCAGACTCCCCTACACCAACCCACCTCCCACAGACGCCTTCCTAGATGTGAGAGGAGAACGGGCTACAAAATCAAACAGACCTGGGTTCAAATCCTAGCCCTGTCGCCCAGTAGTTTTGTAATTCTGGGCTGTTCACATGCTTCCCTGTGCCCCAGTTTCTTTCTTTCTTTCTCTCTCTCTCTGTATATACATACATAAATATATATATATATATACACACACACACACACACACACACACACACACTGAAAATGGTGTCCCCTTAGAGGGTCATTTTGGAGACCAAATTAAGTCTCTAACGAGGCTGGGGGAGGCACTGCATAACTGCCAGTTCTCTTCCCTCCTTTCGTCACAATCCAACTCCTGTCCTTATCCTTTATCTAGATCCAGTACAAATATTTAATCTTTGCTCTCTGTGTCTGTGAGGCCAAGGACACAGGTTCAACATCCAATTTGCAATGTTTTTTCCCCCAAATATACTTTGAGCATGCCCAGTCCCGGCCCAAGCCGCCTCGTCCCAGGACCCATACTCTTTCCCAGGGAGCTGCGGCCTCCGGCCTCCATCCCCAACACCATCAATACCGCCACCACTAGCACCTGCACAGCGATTTACACTTTCAACTTCATCTCAGTGCCCAAGGCATCAGGCTGAGAGAGGCATCAGGCCAGAGCCTTTGCTTCAGCAAAGGACCCCGTGGCCAGGAGGCTTCAGGCAGCCTCGGACACTGAGGGCTGCTATTATGCTTGCTACCAAGCAAGTGCCAAGCCTCCAAGTAAGGACGAGATGTGCTCATTTAATTGGCTCTGTGGCTGTGCCCCCAGGATGACACCTCGGACTCTGGCAGCTGATGGGCAATGGGACCAGAAAGCCTGGTGGCTGCAGGAGAGCCAGCCCTGGGGGAGAGTGTGGGTGAGGTTCCTAACCCATACCCCATTCTTTCCGCCAGCTGGACCAAAGGAGTGGGCCTCTTCAAACCCACATCTGCTGAGCTCCAACTGCATGCCCTTCGCTCAGTACATCTTTACTGAGTGCCTATTGTGTGCTGGTCAAACATTCCTTCACACCCCCCACTCTGGGGACACTAAGTGACAAACTTGTCCTTGAGAGTCGCATGGCCTTTCACCCTGGCCTACTGCTGGGAGTAAGAGGGCCAGGGTTTAGAGTCTTATACTCAAGCCTTTGCATTTCTTCAAAATCTGTTGAGCAACAAGGTCACAGCGGAGTTTAGAAAGGGACATAACCCTCATCAGCTGAAAGTCAACAATTGCTTTGACTTTTAGGGGGTACACAGGTAACATCAGACCTCAAGGCAGACAGACCAGTCTTGCCCCCTTTACCTGGTGTAACGGATCAGAGGGAGGGGATTTGGTGCAACCGAAGAGTCAGACCCCAGTTCAAACCTCAGTTCCACTCACTATGTAACCCCAGGCAACACCACTGAGGGCTCCCTTACATATCCGCAGGGAATGGCACACATATTAGGTACTCGGTAGCATCTAATACTCCATGAGCATAACTGGGTATGTGACTCACAAAAACAAAATAAAGAGGTTGGGCCAGAGCCATCCCGGAGGTTTGGCACATAAACGCTCCTTCACCCTCTCTATAAAAACCCTCCCGTGGCAGGCCCTTTCCACCTCCACGCTTCCCTAACAACGCACCTTGGAGACTGAGGGCCCTCTGGGGTCATCTAGAATAGTCCAACTGGACCATCAGGGAGTCTCAGGAGAGATACACTGGCTTGCACAGGGTTACCCAGGCAGTAGAGCCAAGGCTGGAACCCAGGATTCCTGCCCCCCTACTCAGTGCACCTTCCCTTCCCCACAGCAGGTCCAGGGGTGGGGTGTGCTCAGGGCCTGGTAAACCTGTCCAGGGGAGAGGCCGAGGGAGGTACACAGGGGAGGGAAATGAGGCCCAAGCACAGGCCTGAGCCCCTCCCTGATCCAAGGGCTGGCCTGCCGAGTCATCCCCCAGCAGCTGGCTCTGCCACCTGAGCTATGAAGTGAAGCAGGGGCCATGCAGCTGGGCATAGGCTAAGGGGTAGCAAGTCCCTGCTCTCGGTCTGGGGCAGGCTGGGAGCCCTGGCTGAAGAGAAGACAGAATGAGTCCATTCAGCACCTTCCTACTCAAAGTGGTCTGGGAACTATATAGACATGTAGGATATGAGGCCCCAGACTGGATCTATTGAATCAAGGTCCTGCATTTTAACAAGATCCTCAGTCCAAAGTCTCAGGTAGGACAAGGCTGGGGTAGAGGCAAAGGCAGAGGGAGAAGCTAGGGGCCTCCACCTTCTGCTGGGCAGAGGAACAAAGGCAATGAAGGAAAGGGCATCAGACATTGTCTCATTTGACCACTTCCTACTGCAAACCAGACCCCGAGGCCAACAGCTTGAGGAGTGCTTAAGAAAAGGGCTCAGAGGGCCGGCTGAGTGGCTCAGTTGGTTAAGAGCTCGCTCAAGAGTGCGAGCTCTGAGCAACAGGGTCGTCGGTTCTGTTCCCGGCCCGAGCTAAGCTGCCGCTGAGCTGTCAACAGGTGGCAGGATGGCTCAGCTAAAAAAAAAAAAGAATGAAAAGGGCTCAGGGTCCAGCCTTTGGGTCAGGGCCAACCAGCTGGTTGTACTCATTACCACCACGTGGAGCTCTCCTGCGTGGGGGTAGGGAGAGGGAGACATATAGGAATTCCACACTGGTGACACATCCCACATTTAAACAACTGAAAAGACCTGGGTCTGCTAGGCTTATTAGAAGTCTCTCAATTAGATAAGGGCAGAGTGCAGGAACTGCAGATGGGCTTGTATAACCCTCACCCAGACAGGAAGAAGAGGGCCTGAGTGACTTGCAAAAGCCCCATGGTAAGTCAGCCAGAGCCAGGCTTCCCCCACGCTACCCGGTCTAGTCTCAACCAGCTTGGCCCTAATTACGGCCCATAGCCAGCTCTACAACAAAGTGGGAACTGCGAAGACTGCTGAGGAGTGGCAGGTGTCCCTATGGGAGTCAGTGAGGGGCTACCTGGAGAAGGAGGCCGGGAGAGAGGTACCACTGCGTTCCTCAGGCGAGGGCCTGCTTGGCTGCCTCCTGGCCAGACGATTCCAACCTGGCTCACCACAGAGCCCAGCCCCAGGAGCTGGCCTGTCCATGACACAGAACCCCAGCCCCAATGGAAGCCCCTATGGACTTATCATTGCTCCTCTGCCTAGACAGCCCCTCTTTGCATTGCCTACCTGATGATCCCCTGACAATGAGATAAGGCACCTCACCTTTCAGTACCCAGATAGGACAAGCCTTTGGAGAGAGGTTGTCTTTCCTTCTCTGGGATTATAAACTCTAAGGCCCATGCAAGCCTGGAACTGTCTGGGGCCATCTTACCACCCATCTCCAACCCCCATGGAGAGAACCTTCCTAAAGATGAAGTCAGGAGAGGCCAGCTGAATGGAGAAATAAGAGGGAAATGGAGCCCTGCCTCCGGGCTCCCACAGCCCTCACCTTGTACTAATTCTTATTACAAGTCCATTCTCCTATCACACTGGGAGCTGCCCAAGGGCCGGGCCAGGGTCTGATCCATATCTGGGTTCCCAGTGGCCTGCCAGGGCCTGACCCAGAGTGAATACTCAGAAAGGTTTGCTGAGCAAGAGGAAGAACAGGAATCTGCGCTAGCTGTTCCTCAGGCCCCTGGGCTCCCTGCCTGCAGGGCTGGCTGACAGGTAGGCTGCTCATACGGCACATGATGCTCTGGGGCCTCCAAAGCACTTCCATAGGTGCTCTGACACCCCACCAGGCCTGTGGGTTTGGCATCATCACTCCGATTTTGATGGTGAGAAAAACAGCTCAGGGAAGTGACATGGCCAAGGTCACCCAGCCAGAGGGTGGCAAAGTTGGCTCAATTCAGCCCCAACTGCCAGGCCTGCAATCTGTCCCTATGCTGCGGACCCCAAGTTCCTTCTCTCTTCTCCCACAACAAAGTGGGGGAAGGCTGGGAGCAGACGGGGGAAATGAATGACCTGTTTTCCTTCAGAGGAGCAGGCTAGGAGCAGGCGTCTTGTGCAGTAAGTAGGTTAAGGGGCAGCAGGCCTTAGGGTTCCAGTCCCAGCTCTGCCACCAACTCCTGTGTTACCTCAGCCAAGTCACTTCACCTCTCTGCGCTTCGGTTTCCCCATCTACAAAATGGGGGTAAGGAGGATGAACACTAGGATCTCTTCAACTGCTTGGACTCTGGTGTTCACCCTCCTGTGGCTTGTCACCTTGCAAACGCCCCAGTACAGTTGCCGGCAGATGGGAAGTGAGGGTTCAGTTGGGCACCCCCAGGCCACTGCCAGCCCTCCTCACACAGCTGTCAGCACCTCCTCGGCCTTGGCTGTGGCTGGGAGGGGTCCAGCAGAAGCTGGTTGGATGCCACTGCTGCAATTAGATGCCACCACTGCATCTGATCGCCACCACCTTTCACATCCAGCCTGTTTCCAAGTCCTGGGTGGGGCCAGCAGGAAGCCTCAGCATTTGCCAAGTCCTAGCTCCAATCTGCTCCTTTGCTGCCCCTCCCCCATCCTCCCTCAGCACACCACACTTTCTGCACACCCTCTCAGCACCCATCCCACTGCAGCCAGTGTCTATTTACTTGGCCATCCTCTTGTGCCAGTGTCTCCTAGATGCCAGGGCTGTTGCCTGATTTATCTGTGCCCAGAGCCCTGTGTATAGGGCCTGTGAAAAAAGGAGCTCGCAGAGTCTACTACATGAAGGAGCAAACCCATAGGCCCCAGAGGCAGTTGAAGGCCTGGATGCCCAAGTTAGACTGGGCTGCCTGACAGGAAGGCCCCCAGCCCCATCACTGAGGACCCCAGAGATGGGCTGGGGACTGGGGATGGTCTCTCTCACCCTCTCTGAGCATGAGTTTTCCCACCTGTGATGGTAACAGAACCGCTACGTACAGACATCTCTTTTTTCATGGAGGGAGACAAGA